GTAGTGAGCTCCTTTCTTTCCTGATCACCTTCAGCAGATGTTCATGTCAGCGAGATGAGAAAAAACAACAGTCTGCACTTTGCTGTGGGAGATCCTCCTTGGAGGGAAGGCTTTGGCAGTGATTAACCTTTGCATTTTCTGTTTCTGCCTGGGTAGACAAGGAGGAAGCAGCTGTTGGTAGATGTGAAGCCAGACGTTAGCACAGAGGAAAAAAAATCAGCAGAGCTCTGGAAAACCTCTAGAAGACAAGTGGCACTTTGAAGATGGGACAAAGCTGATGAGAAATTGAGGACTGTGGCAACAGCCACAGCACAGTTTGGAGGTGCCCCAGCAAAGGACTTGTGAAGTCCCGGGCACTGTTTACATCTGCAGGGTGTGATGAGGAGTGTTAGGTCTCTGGCCTTGTGTACCACGCTGCCACAATCAGTCTCAGAAATCCAGCTCCTAAGTGAGCTGGAGCTTGCAGGGTGGAGGTGCAAGTTGAGTAAGGGGAATTTCCTGGAAGAGGAGAGCAGCTGGAGTGTCCTGGCAGAGGTAGCTGGCCCTGTGCCTTGGCGACAGAGAGTGGGTAACCATAAGGTTGCATGGCAGTGTATGCTGTGAAAGCCAGCTGTTGTGTTTGGTGGTGGGTTCCCTACAGCACTGGCCTCCACATGGGCAGGTGACACTCAGTGCCTGGCAATCTCATATAGCTGGAAAGTGCAGGGGGGAAACTTATGACCCACCTGGTAGAATAATTTAGACTAGGTGCACCACTAATGCCCAACCAGGCAGGTCCCTGTGCAGCGTGGCACGCCATTGCTGCCGCCAGGTCGCAGCCACCTCCGCACAGCCACAGCTGCTCAGCTGCGAGCGCCTGTGTCCTGGCCTGCAATGGAAATGCCACCTGCCTCCGCCCGGGGCTCTCCTGAGACAGAACACCCGCAGCGTGATGGATCCCCTGTGCTGGAAGAGGCTGCCACCGCTCTCCCTCCCAGTTAGGTGCAGCTGTCACGTACCCTGCGAAAGCTGCCATTGGCACCCGTTCCTTCAAACCAGAGTTTGCCAGTGCTCCCAGGTCAGCGCTGCCAGAGCGGTTTGGCTGACTCCGTCCGTCACGGCCTCTCGGATGCGGTCTTCCTTTCTCGCAACGCAGTGCAGTGAAAATGGACAATGACTTCGTGGTCTAATGGCTGTTGGAAGTGCTCATAGCAGAACTGCTCCACCAGAATTACCAGCACGCAAGCCGCAACGCCCGTTTCGCCGCTGCCTGCTGTGACGTTTTGCCCCCTACACATACAAACAGGCCCCAACACAGGTATAAAGTAGCTTAGTGGCAGTCAGAGTGTGAGACTGTACGTTAGTGTACAAGAAGAGCCAGGTAATGCTTTTTCTTTCTAGGGGGTTTATAGGTCTGGTGAGCAGAGTAGATCCTGGTTTAAACTCTAGCAGGGAAAGGGAATCACTCCAAACTGAGAATGCCAATTAACTCAGGCGTCACTTGAGCGAATTAAGCTAAGGTCAGAGCTGCAGCAAGCAGCCATCGCTAATGAGATTTCAGTGCTGCTCTGCCTACTTTATGCACATCAGATTTCCTGAGAAGGAATCCCTCGGGGCACAACTGTTTGGTTTCTGTCTGAAACTTCAGGAGCCTCTAGCTCGGCAAGATGTTAACTTCAACCGCAACGCTGCACTAACCAGAAGCCAGGCGGTTGGAGTTCTTCTTTAGCAAACAGCAGATGGTTTTAGACAGGCATCACAACTTGAAATTAAAATTTCCTTTTTTTGCAACATATGCGTACGTTATTTATTTATCTATAGCTCTGGTAACCCTAAATTCCCCTTTTTGTCCTGGGCAGTGAACGCAGTTCTTAGTTTTTTCGAGCATGCTGCAGACTGCTCTGTCGCCGACCCAGCCAAATGGTTTGCCGAGCGGTCCCTGTCTCTCTACTGCCTGTCCCACGTGCTGCCCGGAGGCTGACAACAGCAGGAGGAAGCAGAGTAAGCGAGGCTGCAAGGAACTGTTTTTTTCAGACATCTACTTTACACACTGTTACACCTTGCAGCAGTAAGAGGGAGATTATTTGCTCTCGTAACACATGGGCCTAGACCAGGCTAAATCCTCCTGAGCCACTCTTACCTGGGGGATTGACTGACATCCTCCTCAGCCGGCACTCACGATGGCAGAAGCTGGCTGCAACCTGGACAGACCTCACCCACCGTGGGGGGCTCCAGGCTCCAGCATCCCATGCCGAAGTGGGTTAAAAACATAAACAAAGAATGCTAGCAAGAAATGTGCTGGTTTTCTTCCTCAGCGAATTTCTGCGCCTTGAAGAAAATCAAAGCCGGTGCTTAATGACCCTTCTGGGCACAACAAGATTTGTATCTTCATCCTTTCGGGGCAGGCTCGCAACACAAAAACCCCTGGGATGAAGGGGAAATCTCTTTGAAAGCCGCTTGCCAAGCGAGACGCTGTCAGATGTTGAAGGGAGGAAAAGGGAGCGTGCATTATGAAAGCTGGCAGGTGACTGAGCTAATTACGGACTCGGAGGCAATTTAGGGTGACGGGAAATGACTGGAATTGTAACCAGAGGTTGAAAGGAGACAGTGCCGGCACTGCCATGCTCGGGTGGGCTGAAGGCTGTTCCCGTAGGTCAGGGAAACACCTTGCACACTTGCTGCAGAGTAACTGCGGAGCGAAACGCAAGCTGCTGCAAAATGGTGTTAATGGGATGTGGAAAGCCTTGTGGACCCTTCCCCCACCCCTTTCTCTTCTTCAAAGCTGTCAAGGTATTTTTAATAACAACCGATGGTTGCCTAAAATCACAAAACATGTTCTCATTAATATTCATGGGAGAATGGATGGGTTTTATCTACACCTACATCAACGTGTGGCAAAATGTACCCAAAGCCCAGTTTTTATCTTTAATCACATTGAAAATGATCGCCTCTGATTTTTGTGGGGAAAAAAATAGTCCTGTTTTCAAAGGAGAAAAGCATGAGGTGTTATAATTTGTGACTTAGAATTTGGCAAAGCTGCTCTCTTCTGTGAAATCGAAAGAAAGGTAAAAAAAAAAATCAGATTTTTAAGATTTTTAATTGAGTTCTGAATATTCCAGCAATTCTGATATGCATTTCTACAACAGCTCTTGTCTGGATACTCAGTGTCAGCAGCAAAACAAAGAAAATTAACAGGAAATCTTTGAAAGATTAAAAAAAGGGGTTAAAAACATTTTTCTGCCTAGACATTGCCCTTTATTTATGCTACTGTAGCACGCAGCATCTTTCCTAGGGATCAGGCACGAATGCTGCACATGTTGTGCAAACCTGCAGCCGCAGAGCCCGTGGCCCACAGACGCTACGCTGGGGATAGTCAGCTCATCTGTATTGATGCCATGTTTCCTGACAGGCAGATGTTGAACGCCCAGATCACTACAGAGAGGTCCGCCGAGTGCTGCAGCCCAGCTCCGCTGGCTCCCTCACCCACCCCCCTCCCCAGGGAGCAGATGTAACCGCCCGGTGGGCTCCGTCTTACCCTGAGACCGCTGACAATGTGAGCCAAATAAATCAGGGGAGGGGAGGGAAGCGGAGGGGTTTGCTGCTTTGCCCCTGTAGATCACTTGCCAAGCGAGCAGGCAGTCCTCGGCACTGGAGGCTATGCTGTCTCCTGTTGCAAGAGCACAGAGAATTAAAGAGTATCCTGAATTTCCAAAGCACCCTACAGCTGTTACCTAATAAACCCTCATCACGGTTTCGGCAGACAGGTGAGGTCACAGAGTCAGACCGTGAAGGCAGGTAACTCATCTCTGTGCCCTTCACATCTGCTGACCCTGAGAGGGGAACACACGGGAGGAGGGACCCTCCTTCTCCCTAGACCAGCCAGGCTGGAGCAACTCTAATTTGGCCCAAATACCTCTGTCGTGATAACCTTTCAAAATCCTGAATCCTTATTAACACACTGAGTAGGGAGAAGGAGGCATTTGTAATGTGTCCTCTGAACAGGGTCATTGCATCATGCGTTTAATACGAAGGATTTGGCAACACAAATAATTGTTGCTAGACGCGCACTAAGTGTCTTTGCGGCCGTGGAGATTAGCAGAATAAGTGGCATCATTTATTTAGTCACTTGATGCACCCCAATTCCTAGGGCTCACCACGAAGCAAAGCCTCCTCCCTCGAAAAAGCTGTTCTAGTGCAGCCACTTGATCACAAAAGGCTTTAATCTCTTTTAAAAAGGGGTTTCCCTTCTTCCTAATCAAATTCCTTCCAGTCACGTGGACTTGAAATAGAAAAGATTAAGTTTAACCCTTTGGTAGGGGAGAGATAAGGATAAAGTTGACTTTCACTCTGGCTGCTTTTGTGACAGCACCCAGGAAAGCTGCAATCTGCTCTCAGTTCTCCCCAGACTGAGCATCTGTTTTCTCTTACTTTTCCTTTTCTTTTATTCTTTCTTTTTTTTTCTTGCCTTGCCTTCAGAGAAGGTGGGAAGATGCTTCAGTCCTCCTTGTGTCCAGTGTATTCTGCTCTCCCTTGGTGTCTCCCTCTGTGCCCTAAATTTCCTGCTGCTGAGAACACTGTGCCTGATGAGGGTTTAAAATACTGCTAACAAAAAAGAAAAAAAAAGCTCGTTTCATCTTGGAGTATTTAAACAAGTCTAAATTTAGAGCATAGCTGTGGAAAAAAACAAAAAGGAAAAAAGGTAAAGTAACCCGCCAAAGGCATTAATTAATATGACACCTACGTGGCTGCTTCTGTAAACAACGGGGAGAGTGTGCAGCTTGCAGATGGATGGATCTGCAGAGTACCAGGGTGAAATGTGGGGTCTAGAAGGACGCGTTTGGTCTGAGTCATCCTGCTGACATCTGGTGATGCTCTGCAGGCCACATGTTCATCCATTATTCATGACCTCTGAGGCAACCTGAAATGAAGAAAGTCAGTGGTATGCTACCTGCCTACCTGTCGGTTGGTGTACCTGTGTATTCCCCTGTGCATGCCTGCCGTGGTACAGAATCTGTCCCGCCATGAATCTGTCCCGCTCCACAGAGATTCTAGTAAGGTATCAGGTACCCAGGTATTAGCTGCCCCATGGTAAACAGGCTTTTGAGTGCCTCCTCTGTGGGGTCATATCAGGGTCACCTTGTGATCACTGGTACTCCTCAGCCTGGTGTCCCACAGCAGAAGAACCCTTGCATGCACAGTTTCAGACTGCATCAAGCATTTCCCCTGCACCCAGATGGTGTTTAAAGTGGATAACTTGACCCAAAACACACCTGGGAGAAGTATCGTTTTCCCACAATGGCTGCGGCGAGGAAAGGGCACTCAGAGAGGCTGTGCTCACCCAGCACTGCCCAGCGCTGCAAACCTTCCAGGTCTCACCAACCCAGCCTTCCCCCGTCCCAGGCACGTTGCCAGTCACGCAGCCAACCCAGCCCTAGACCAAACAGTAAGAGCCGCCAGCATCTCTCCATCGCATCATGGCTTCCTGGAGCTCAGCGGGGATTGCACAGGCCCCGACAGGACCGAACGGGGAGGGAGGGCAGCGCCGAGCTGCAGGGACACTGAGGGTGTCTCTGCACCCTCTTTTCCCTCTGAGGGTGACGGAGCCCTGGCCCAGGCTGCCCAGGGAGGCTGTGGAGTCTCCTTCTCTGGAGATATTCAAGATCCGCCTGGACAAGGTCCTGTGCAGCCTGCTGTGGGTGACCCTGCTTCGGCAGGAGGTTGGACTGGGTGACCCACAGAGGTCCCTTCCAACCCCGAACATTCTGTGCCTGGCCAAGGTCCTGTGCAGCCTGCTGTGGGTGACCCTGCTTCGGCAGGAGGTTGGACTGGGTGACCCACAGAGGTCCCGTCCAACCCTGACCATTCTGTGATTCTGTGATTCTGTGACACCTCCCCAGCCGCCAGCCCGCGGCCTGCCTGCAGCACCAGCCCTCATGCAGAGGTGACTCTGCAGCCCTCCTCCCCGTCCCCGCTCAGCGATTACATCCACACCTCTGCGAACTCGGCGTGCGAGTGCTAACTCCACAGCAACGAAACCTGACCAGAAGAGATCTGCGTGACCAGCCAGTAAAACCATGACTAAAAGTGCTTTTCCATCGCTGCCTCTGGCAAGGGCTTCCTCCTCCTGGCAGCTGCTGGGACAGGGAGATCGGATTCTCTAGGATTGGCAAAACACCGCACGACTGCTTTCCAAACCACCTCGAGGAGCAGTGAAACCTACTCAGGCAGGCCAGAGACATCATCCTCATATCTCCCGAGCAGGACGCAGGCTGAAACACCATTGAGAGAGCAGTGTCACAAGCAGAATGCTTGACCAGAGTAGAAAAGAGCTTTTGTACCCAGCTACTTATCTAAGGAGTTCTGCCAGGAGAATAATAAAAGGCACAAGATTATGATCTCAGGTAAATGCATCTGCTGTGAACAAGGCCACGTAGTTTATTCCCATCATGCCCCGTTTTAAGTTATTAAAAATCACAGCATGTTATTAAGTGATAATCACAGAATCACAGAATGGTAGGGGTTGGAAGGGACCTCTGTGGGTCATCTAGTCCAGCCCTCCTGCCGCATGTTTTAAGTTCAGGATCATGATGGAGCAAAGACTTGCTTTGAGGTATGCGGTGGTGACAGGCATGCAGCAAAATCCCAGTGTCTCCAGAATGCAAACCAAGTCAGTGCTGATCTCTCGCAACCTCTTCTCCAGTCCTGATATCTACAGTGCAAAAAGGACCCTGATGCTTGCTCCATGTGGGCTCGGAGACGCTGCTCCAAAGGACCAAGAAAACAGGAGGGAGCACCTCTGCCTCACTTCATGGGCCACCTGGGAGATCAGTACCACAGGTGCCATGGGGAAGAAGCATGACCAGCTCCAGCCTGTTAAACCTCCTGCCAATGGGAGTATCATCACAATGCCCTTGATGCTGGGGCAGGCTGAGACACTGTCCCATCTGCTCTTTGTCTCTTGCGTATTCTTCTCTTTGCTGTGTTCAAGGCTGTTGCCATATTCCCTCTTCCAGCTGACTTTCTAGCAAAGAGACACTTGTGCCTTATTGACCAGTGCTGCATGGAGAGAGGTTGCCTCAAAAGGCCGTGCCATACTTGGCACATCTTTCTAATCATCTCTTTCTGATGCTCGGTGTAGAGGTCCCCTGTCTTCATTTTGCTTCATTCTCATTTTTATCCCACTGTAAGACTACAGGTTAGCCCACTCAGGCCTTTCCAGGTCAGGGTCACCACATGAATGCATTACACAAATGGGGATTTCCACTGGCTTTAATAAACTCGCCTCACACACTGCTTACACCAGTGTTCGGATTATATTTCTTCTTTGGCTGGTCTTGACATTTGCCAGTATCTTCTCACAACAAGATAATCTAAACTGAACTCAGGTTCTAGTCAGACCAGAAATTAACAGAGCTGGTAAATCTTCCCCCTGCCTGTGAATACAGCACAAAATCACACTGGCATTTTTTTATCGCCCCATGACTTTACAAATTTAGCTCTAATCTGCTGTACTCGCTCACCCCACATCTCTCGCAGCCTTAAATTCTCACTCCTCGTTAAGTATCTGCTTTCATTCTGGTAGGATTCATTTTCTTCTTCCCCAGTCAGACCCTGCTGTCGTTTACCTCCTCCCCGTGCTCCGGCTGTGCTCGCACACGGTGGTGGCGGAGCTCTGCAGCAGTAACTGGATGCACGCTAATCCCGGTAAGGGCCCTCTAGTCACCTGGGTTTTTTCAGTTTTCCTTGCTGTTTTCATTTCATCTGCAAATCCCACTCCCTTGCAACTTTAGATCATTAAGGGGTTAAGTGAGATACATCCAGCAAATGAGATAAATCCACATAAAGGGATTTGGATCTCCCAGTTCAGCACGTTGCTGTGTCTCCTTGCCTTTTCTATCAGTGTTTCAGGGTTTTCCAAACACACGCAGACAAAGGCTCTTGCCAGAACCCATCTGGATTAAACCAGGTCTCAGCTGCAAGTAGCACACAGTGGCTGGAAGGGTTAGTGAAAAGATCGTGCAAAAATCACTCATGGTAACTATTTGCTTATGGCTCCTTGCAAAGTGGAGAGAAAATGCTGTCTAAAATGTGAATTCTCCTGCCTTCAGATCTCATTTCAGATCTTTTTCAGAATACAAATTTTTATCACCTCTTCCCTAAAATGTCCAGACAGGGAAGCCTGCAATCCTGGGTGCAACCCCTCGTTTTTAATCCTGGTAAACATGGGGAAATGAGACCTTGATGGTCAGTCTTCCCAGAGCAGTCTTCTCCTCTGTCCACTTCTGTTCAGGCTGCCGAGGAAGGAGGAGGCAGCAGAAGCCCAGCCCCGTAGCCCCCTGTCCCAGCAGCGCCAGGCCAGTCGGAGGAATCGGCTCCTCCTGCTCCCATGGGCAACACACTGCACCCCTTGTCTGCAACAAGCATTTCTGAGGGGGGAAGACATTTCTCTGTACAGTCCTCACCTCCAGATTCCCCCTGGGTCTGTACCTACCCCTTTTCCAGGGCAAAACGCCCGTCGTGCGTTTTGGCCACGTGAGAAATGCATTGCTGAGACCCAGAGCTGCTCTGCCTGTTGCCTTCACCTGCTGACAGTGGCATTTGCTGCACAGCTGGGTGGTACCTCAAAGGCGCCGTCTCTAGAGAGTTTGTGTGTGCAGAAATTGATTTTTTTGCAGATTTCAAGGTCTGAAAGAACCAGTTCAAGCTTCCCGTGTAAGCCTCTGCACAGTCTTAAAAAGATCATCTGGAAATTTCGGCCCTTCAGGCCCACAGCCTCTGCTTGCAGAAGATCAAAAAAGTACTCTGTCTGGAGCATAGATTGTAATAAACGACAAAATCATCCCATCCTGAGGTGAGTTATTCCTGTAATTAATTAATTTCTCACCCCAGGCTTTCAGCCGCTCCATCATACAATTTAACATCTATTCTACGTTTCACGGTTTTATTCCCTGCTCGGTATTTCCTCTGACGCTTCTGTTCTCCCATGTCACCGCAGCACCAGCGTTGCTGCAGTAGCACAGCTATAACACGTGCCTTAGCTTTACTTCCGTGCTTTGACAGCCAGTTTCCCCTCCACATCCTCGTGAGAAACCTAATGATCTCGCGTGGCGTTGCGTTTTATATTGAATAAGCCATTTGTAAAGGTGCATAGATGATTGGAAGATACTCTAAATGGGTTAATTCACAGGCATAGAGCCAAACAGTTCAACACATCATTCTAGTAATTCATAATTTTTCGACTGCAGTATCTATCGTTATTTATAATTCATACTTCTCGTGATGATAATGAGCTGATCTAGCGTGCGCCTCCTCCGAGCACGCAGTTTGCGACTTGCTGCCATTCATCAAGGTCAGCCGCTGGGCTCCTTGGATTCATTGGTCTCCAGACACAGATCAGGGGATGGCAATCTCAATTGACTGTTGCCCTAATGGAGAGGTTTGACTATTAATAAATAATCGCTCACATTAGGAGGTGATCAGTTAACAGGCAGAGTCCTTTTTTCCACGCCATTTTTGCCTCCTGCTGCCCATTTTCTCTCTGCTTCGCGTGCCTGTGTGAGGTCCTCAGGCACGGTTTGGAGGCCGAGAGCCTCGGCAGGACCTGTGCTGGACGCTGCCAAGGCGCCAGCTCTGCCCGGCCTCGTCGGTCCTCTGCAGACCTCGGTGCCAGGGGGTTGCATGGCATGAACCCACCGGTGCCTGCGGGAGCCCGTCACGTGCCCCACGCTCCTGGTGCCTGCCCCGCGTGCCCAGCGGGGAAGAGATGGTGCTGGGGTGACCTGCCAGCGTCGTGCCAAAGGCCGGGGGTTTATCAGGGGTGTGGATGCCACCCCTTTAAAGCAGGTACCGTCTGACCTCTGGCTGGAGAAGCCGAGACCCATCTTTAAGAATCAGAGTAATCCCGGGTGATTTTATCCCACTCCACTTCCCTAAATCTGTGGCTGCTGCTCGGCAAGGGGATTAAGGGG